ATAAAGATGTTCAAGCGTAAATGAAAATAAACAATGAATCCTTTTGCTTATTTGTTTTAGATTAGATTTCCTAATGTTATTGAGTGTGGACGAAAATTACACCCTTGTATGAACTTAGAATTATGAGAGAAATAAAAGATAATCGTCGTTTGTTATCAGATTAATTTTCTTATAGAAATAATTGAACCTTGGGGATTTGGTCCCTATGTGACAATTGCATTATAAACTCTTCATATTGTTCATATCCATTCTATCTCTGGAAAATCACTGCCCTTTTAAGGTATGATTATGCATTTGCGGGGTTTTATTTTTAACTTTTTTTTAATCTAGAAATAAGTTTTTTAATAGTGAGAATAAAATTTTGAGATGAAATTCAAATCCTGATAAATTAACAAATACATAAGCCTATTTTTTTTCACCTAGTGAAATTAGTATTAATATATACTGGAGTGATATTTACGATATGGAAAGGGAACTAGACCAAAAGAAACATGCACTCTATCCATTATTGAACATCTACAGTGGGAAAGGTACTCTACCAGTATTAGTTGAGGTCATACCTATAGGTTAGATCAAAGCATTGACGAACAATAAAAGAGTACACACTTTAATGTTGAATCTCGTTCTAGAGTAGACCTGGTTTGTCTTTCACCAGGTGATTGTACAAGCTACAAATTGGTGAGTAATTTAAAAGTTATACCTGATTTAATTAACTACCTCACATAAAACTTCCATTCTTAGCTGAACTGTAGAGATCCTTATCTGAGCACGCAGTTGTAATTCTTGTTGTGTGCCGTCACCTTGGAACCAATCCATAGCTGACCCTGCAGCCAGCTTTTCAGAGGCAGTTAGAGAGAGTGTAATAATGTCTCCAAGGTCATATACCTAGGAAATACAGAAGCTGGGATTTACACACTATAAGTCTAGCTGTCAAATACAGAGTGATTTATAAAATTGTCTCCCCGTACCTCCATCATTCTTAGAATAGTAACAACTAAAGAGAACCAATATTGTATTGCCCACTTGAGTTTCTCTCTCTCTACAAATGAGAAAGGATTCTTTCCCATCACGGTCTCCACGATCACTTTGATCCTGCTCAAGTGTTGGGAGGTGCATTTTGTGATCTTATAGATGCTGTCTTAGTTGTCTGGCTAATATGATCATTGCTTGGTTGTTAACTTCTGTACATATTTAAATAATTTAGCTTGTATTCCTATCAAAATTGTTTTCTTACTCTTTGAGGAAGGAGAGCAAACTAAAAGTACAAGATCACTCTGTAGTGTAATGTTTCTTGATATTTGTTAGTTTCCCCCCATAATTATCACCTCCAGGAACCATTTCACACATTCATTTTTCCCTAATTATGCCTCTCCACACTTAACCTATAACGTATGGACATACATTTTAATGTATTTTACATATATGAGTGCTTTATTGGAAAAAACAACAATAATGACTTTCATCTTCCAAAAACTAATATTCACACCCTGGGGGAAAATACTCAAAACAAGAGAGATACTAAATGTAAAAATTGACAGAAAAGGAAGAGATTAAGCCATATTGAGGTAGATCAGAGTGAAAAAACTGGACATACATTAGTGAGTAAAAAGCAGTTGGAAAATGATCTTTGGTTTAGAGGAGCAGTAAAACCAGTTCTAGATCAATGAGGTTACACAAATTAGATACTGGCCTGAAGCAAATGTATCCCTGCATAAAGGAGATGACTTTCAATGGCTGCGTTTTAGATATTGCATCAAAATATATAATATTTATAAAATAAAAAAATCAGTATCAAAGAAAAGCAGGATTTATACTCAAACATCTCAAAAATAATTTATGTGAAAATATAAAAAAAAATTTAAAATACAATCTAAAATGAAGATTTCTCTCTCTAGATTTTGAGACACAGAAGCACAGCTTTTGGGTTAATTGCAATTTTCTCAGACCACACTATCAGAAATTCCCTTTTGTGTGAGTGTATGTGTGTGTAGAAACATACCAGTTTTTACAATAACATTCATAAGGGGTTTTTTGTGCTACACATATTTACGAATGGGAGAGAAAGGACTATTAGAGCCCATGATCAAAAAATTTTGTTTTCTTTAGATTCTTTTTAAAAGCCAAGGAAAGACAATGCCAAAGAAAAACTACACCGAAGTGACTGAGTTTATTCTCCTGGGACTGACTGACCGAGCTGACTTGCAGCCTGTTCTATTTGTGATATTCTTATTTATCTACCTCGTCACCGTAATCGGCAACGTGAGCATGATTTTTATAATTAGAAGCGACTCAAAACTGCACACCCCCATGTACTTTTTCCTCAGTCATCTCTCCTTCGTAGATCTCTGTTATGCCACCAACGTCACGCCACAGATGCTTGTGAACTTTTTATCTGAGAGAAAAACCATTTCTTTTGTTGGTTGCTTCATCCAGTTCCATTTTTTCATTGCCCTGGTGATCACAGATTACTATATGCTCACGGTGATGGCTTATGACCGCTACGTGGCCATCTGTAAGCCCTTACTCTACAGTAGTAAAATGTCCAGATGTGTCTGCCTCTCTCTGGTGGCCGCTCCTTATATTTATGGCTTTGTAAGTGGCCTCACACAGACCATACTGATGCTACGCCTGTCCTTCTGTGGACCCAATGAGATCAACCACTTCTACTGTGCAGACCCGCCTCTCTTAGTCCTGGCCTGCTCAGATACACATTTCAACGAAACTGCCATGTTTGTGGGGGCTGGAACCAACCTTATCTGCTCTCTCACCATCATCCTCATCTCCTATATTTTCATCTTCGCCGCCATCCTGCGCATCCGCTCTGCTGAGGGGAGGCGCAAAGCCTTCTCCACCTGCGGGTCCCATCTCACAGCTGTCACTGTCTTTTATGGGACCCTCTTCTGCATGTATCTGAGGCCACCTTCTGAGTCATCTGTAGAACAGGGGAAGATTGTAGCTGTTTTTTATATCTTTGTGAGCCCTATGTTAAACCCTTTGATTTATAGCCTCAGGAACAAAGATGTTAAAGCAGCAATAAGGAAAGTTGTACAAAGGAGATTGTTTCTTAAATAAAGTAGAACGGAGTTTTTGGTTTTGTTTGTTTGTTTTACACAAGTCCATGTAGTATCTTACCGCCTGGACAAGTAAGGGGCAATTTCAACTGATCAATCACTGTCTGTTAATACTTTTCTCTATTTTTTTCACTTCACAAATTTTAATTGTGCTGACTTTACCAAGCATTTTACTAGACTACATATTGCCAAGTCAGTTAAAAAATAAAAACAAAACAAAACAAAAAAACCCCAACAACAAAAAACAGCAATGCAATGACAACAAAAACCCAAAACAAATTACACTCATGAATAACATTAAAAAAACAGCACTGCTTCTTGTTGTAGTTATGTGCCATCGAGTTGCTTGTGACTCATAACAACCCTATATGCATTAGTCCTAAAACCTGCTTTATCCTGTGCTAACCTTTTTGTCTCTGACACACCCTCATTACTCTAGATACTGACTCAATCCATCTTATTGAGGGTCTTCCTCTCTTTCACTATCCCTCCACCCTTCCAAGCCCACCCTTACAAATATGATGGCCCTCTCTAAAGACTGGTCCCTCCCTGCGTGCAAAAATACTAAGGACTAAAATAAAAACACAGAAGGCAATGTATAACTTTATTGATACAAAAAAGCAGACTATTGTGTCCAAAATACCAATATTCATGTGAAATGTGACAGGAATACCACATGCTCTTGTCAATGTCATTCAGTACATAAATGGTGCCAATGATTTAGAACTTGGTTACTAATGTCAGCAGTTCTAGTGCACTGAGAGAAGAAAGACTTGGCAAACTAGTTCTGAAATATCAGCCAGTGAAAATCTTGTAAAACTCAGTTACACTCTGACATACACAGGGTCAACAGGAATCTGAAAATTCTTGACGGTAAGTGTTCTTTCCATGGCAATGACAATCTGTGATAGTGTGATCTCATTGCTGTCCTACGAATGCCTACACATGACCTTTGAGCATGTCTCTGAGACTGTAGATCAAATCAGAGATTGTTCCTCTTTCTCCAGGGCAGCTGCTAGGGGATTTGAACCATCAGAAACATGTAAGCTTCCCTATGGACTATACCACCAGAGCTCATTTTACCTAACAATGTCCAAAGCATTTTCAGAATTTATTTCTCCCCATCCTTGCTTAAACAAACAAAAAAAAAATCTGTGGAGTGATATCATGGATCACATGGAATTCTTATTTATAAGAACTTTTTATGAGAATGTCAAATTTTCTTGAGAAATGTTTGTTATTTTTAAATCTGTATGTAGTTGCTCAAAGTGTGTCTTCTCTGTGTTTTTCATTATCATCATCTTTATTTTTTTAAAAAATAAATGACATTTAAATATGTTCAGTATATGTTGTTTTTAGATGCTGTTGGGTCAGTGACAACTCATAGTGACCCTAGAGTAACAGATCTGAACCTGGCCTGAACTTCTATTGTCCTCCTGATCTCTGTCATGTTCAAGCTCATTGTGGCAGTCACTACGCCAATACATCTCATTGAGAGTCTTCTTCTGTTTCATGGACTCTATCTTTCTCAGCATGACATCTCTTTTAAGGACTGATGTAGTCAGAAAATATGCCTAAGAAAAGGAGACAAAGTTTCACCATCCTTTACTCTAAGGAACACTCTATTTATGCTTCTTTTGGAATGAATGTTTGTTTGTTTATTCTTCTGGAAATCCACAGAATATTCAATGCTCTTTCTCCAATACCACAATTCAAAGGCATGGATTCTTCCTCAGTCTTTCTTATTCACTGTTCAATTTTCAGATACATAAGAAGTGATTAAAAAATATCATGGTTTGGATCAGTTGCATCTCAATCTTTAAACTAAGCTTCTTGCTCTTTGGAACTTTGCAGATTTTCCAAATGCAACATATCTCTTTAAATCTTAACTGCCTCTACCATGGGTATTGATTACGGATCCAAATAAAACAAAATCATTGACAACTTCAGGGTTTTTCTCCATTTATCATGATATTTTCTATCTGTCCTATGGTGGATACTTGTTTTTCTTGATGTTGAGATGTAATCCATATTGAAGGCTGTAGTCTTTAATCTTATGTAGCAAGTGCTACATGTCTTCTTTACTTTCACCAAGCAGGATTGTATTATCTGCATAATGCAGGTGGTTGGTAAGTCTTCCTCTAACTCTTATGTAATATTCTTGGAGGGTTTTTCATATTATTCTTAATGTAATCCAACTTCTTGAATTGTTTGTTCAGCATGCAGATTGAACATATATGAAGAAAGGATAAAACCTTGACACACACCTTTTCTGATACTTAAATATGCAGGATTCCTTCGCCCTGTTCAGAAAACTGCTGTTTGGTCTAAGTATAATTTTCACACAAGCACAATGAAGTGTTCTGGAATTACAACTCTTCTCAATGTTAGTCATATTGTGTTATGAATCACACAGTCAAATGTCTTTGCATAGCCTATAAAATATAAGTAAACATCTTTCTAGAATAAGATCCGTGTGATGTCAGCAATAAAAACCTTCATGCCATGGTCTCTTCTAAATCAAGGTTAATTTCTGGTATTTGTACTCTTCCAACTAGTTTTGAATGATCTTCTGCAAGATTTTATATGCTTATTATATTAATGATATTGTTCAACAATTTCCACAGTGTTTTGGATCACCTTTTTGAGAATGAGAACCAACATGGATCTTTCCAGTCAGTTTGCCCATAGCACTTTCCAATTTTGTTGGTAGCCACCATTCATCTTTCAGTGTGTCACACTGTGGTGCCTGGTGTGTTGCTGTGAGACTGGAAACTTTGATACCAGTGTTGCAAACGCCACCAGGGGTACCTGTAGTAGACAGATTCCAGCAGGACTTCCATACCCTGCACTTCTAACATAATAGAGAGAAAACTATGGATAATCAAAGGACATTGCTGAATAGAGTGCTGGGACAGAAGCCCCTCAAGCTTCTATATATAAATGAATATATACTGAGCATGCGTTTTTAATTAGGTGTTAGCCAAACAATTCCAAATGCATATTTACTCTATAGCAAGACTTGAAATGCTAAGGTCACTATAATCCATGCTCAACTCGACGGCAATCATCAGCTACAACAACCCAACCTTGCGTCATCATCATGAGCACTCCTGTGCTTGAGCCTCTTGTTGGATCCAAGCTGGCAGTCCATCCTACTGAGACTCTTAATGTCAGATGGAAGGACCAACAAAGAGTATTTTCAAGGCAAATCCACAAGTTGAGTTTATTTGTCAAACTGTTGGTAAGGTGTAGATAGTAGACGAGGCAAATACAGTACACGAGCTATCCATGACAAACGACCAAGATATTAAAAGAGAGGAATGAATTGATCATTTTGGAGTTCAGAGCTTCAAACAAAAATAAAAGTAGGTTAAATTATCAACTGGAAGAAGAAACTAAATGCCACTAGTGAAACAGCAGAGAAATAGAGTGGCATCCCATCAATTGGTAGGCACAATATGACTATTTTGAACTCTTACAAGTGGTTTTATGATTGGAGCAAGAACCAGAATACTAACTCCGTTCTCATCACAGCATGTGCTCACTCTGGTGAAGTGATTAAATAGATGTAATCTTGTCCTTTCCTCCAATACTCTCCAGAAGATCAGAAGCATAAACAGCTCAACCCCTACTTAGCTAGCAGCTAATATCTCAGTTCTATTGCCTCCTCTCCACAATACAAACACGGACAATATTCTAACCCCTCCAAGCACTCTCCTCTTTACTCTTCCATTGAGCAGAGACATAATTTTACACCACGATCCAGCCATCTCGGCACTCAGCAGAGAATACACTCATGGGACTGGATTTCACAAGCCTGTAGCTTCTAAAGTCTAGTGTTGCTGCCACAGACTATGTAGTCAGCAACACACTGACGTGCCAACTAACATTGGTCTTTTTGTATTTTTATTGTCCCCATCTCCTTTAAACAAACAAAAAAAACCCCAATATCTTTTGTTTTCTTTTCCTCCCCCTACCCCCCAGGTTTTTTCTCTTTAATTTTTCTCTCCAACCAACATGAAGCAGAGACCATGTTCTCACTACGCAGCTTTCCTAATCTCACCTGTTGTTGCATCATTCTGATGTTCCATCTATTCCTAAATCACATGACTGAGAACCAACACCAGCCAACACTCATCCATTCAGCCCTCTAGTGCTCTACATAAACAGATAATTGTACACTCACTCTACACGATTCTACACCCACTTAGACGTGTGGAGAGCACCAGGTGCCACGAGAGGAGCAGTCAGGGTAGCATGCTTCTCCTGCCAGAGACAATTATTAAATCAAGTCAACAACACTACAGTGTTTCAGTAACAGCAGTCAAACTCAGTTCACACAAGATAAAACAAGGAGGTTCAAGAAAGCTATCAAACAAAATACAGAGCTCTAAAATCTTCTCAGTGAAGAAATGGAGGAGGGAATACCTGACAAGAAATTCTAAAGAGTTGTGTAATACCTTTGTACAAACTAAAATGACTTCAAGGAGAAGGCAAATAAGATCAAGGAACACAGACAAAACTATAGATGATGTTAGGAACATGTTGCAAATGAATAGAAAATTATAAACTACAGAAAAGGAAGCATAGAAATTCAAGAGATGAACCGTAAAGTTTGAGAAATAGGTAACTCACTGGAAGGACAAAGGTTAGACTACAGTCAATATTCGAATTGTTGTTGTTACGTGCTGTCAAATTGGAATTGCCTCTGGCAGGTCTTCAAAGGAACTAAATTGCGTGGGAGGAAATTGTCTCCCATAAAGCAATTGGTTTTTCCAAACCCCTTATCTTTTGGTTGGAAGTGCAGTCTTGCTAAACTGTTGTTGTTAGCTAATACTAGACTACTAGTGTTCCTTTATACAACAAATAGCAAAGATATATGTTTAAAGGCCACGGTAGTGTAATCCTTTGACTTCACAAATATGTTTAATAAGAACGTTTCAAGAATTGCCCTTTTTTAGTGGTGATACCGACAATGAACTTTTAAGTGGTATTGGA